CTTCCACTAGATGTTGGGATCATCTAAGTTATCAATATTGAAGATTTAACACTCTACAACTAAATACAAGATAATACTCTACCTCACTTAGTAAGTATCCAACTTTCTGCCTTTCATCTCGATAACCTATAGTGCCTTCCCCACTTATATACACCTATAATAGTAGAAAAGAGAAAATAGAGAATATTCTAAATGAGCAATAAATATCTACTCATAAGGGAGATATCAGATATTTTTTTTATCAAATGGAATGGACGATCAAATTCAAATTGCACATGAATTATAGAAGAAGAACTTCAACAACTCAATCCTAAACTCTACCATCAGTATTGCCTTACCACTTCATCAAAGATTAATGCAAAGAAAAAAAGACCAAACTAAATTATTTGGATTGAAGGTGAACTCAAGTTTGATTTCAATTAACATCTTAAAATGGCTTTCCCCCACCCGATGTGAGTCGAAGGACTTGGGCCAACTCTAAGATTATCCTTACGTTCCTCTCCTCTCTTATCCTCAACCAACCTATAATGAAGATCCATAAAATGATCTCTTAGCATCAAATGTTAGTCAAAAAAAAGTTTTAAGTGATTTTCCTTTGATGATCTTAGTATGTGATTGAACTTCAATTTTATTTTTTTATTATTTAAATTAATATTTTTATAAATTAAATTTCTCTTGCCTCCTCTTTCTCTGCTTTTGCCCCCATTTTTTTTTATTATCCACCCAAACATATCTCTTTTAGTATTAAACATTTCTTTTAGGATTGTCTTACATCATCATGAAACTTATTGATGCTTTTAGGCATCGATGCATGATATGGACTCCTCAACTACCACATTCTCTTGTAGCATCAAGCATGTGTGATGGATTCTAGAGAAGCAATGTGCGGCTGCTATCACCAACTGTGTTCATCCATTGCGAGCTCTCTTTCATGTACCAATCAGACGTTGTTTGCCCAGTCACCAACTGCTATCTCTCTCTCTCTCTCTCTCTCTCTCTCTCTCTCTCTCTCATGCATTTATCTGAAGCAAATCTAACTCATTTTTCAGTAACATATCAATGAAACGTTTAAGTGTACATTTGCAATATCGATCTCTTTTTCTTGAAACTATATTTTAAGAAGAAGTAGATCATTAAATGTCAGAAATTCGCTTCCTTTCTCTTTATTACAGTCAGACTCAATGTTTAAGCTTCATCTTTCTAGTTCTTTTAGTTCACTCTCTCTCTCTCTCTCTCTCTCTCTCTCTCTCTCATGCACGCACACGCATAATCAGTATATCTGTGCTTCGCTATCAGACAAATCAGAACAGAAGGATGCTTGCAGACAACCCTTTGCCACCTTCTTAAGTTATCAAGACAAGCTTCTGCTGAACACCAACCCTGCTGGCTAACTTGAGAATGTATTTTAGTCCTGAAACAGTGGCCAATCTCTTTCAAGAGAATGATTGATGACGACCATGTGAGAACGAACTGTTGGAGTATTGGATGATCCGCAGTTGGCTCAGCACAATGAGATGATGATGTTACAAATCCTTGATGTAGTATGTGGTTGGCCATTAATTAATAGGCTTAATCTTATTATTTTAATAATAATAATAATAATAATAATAATAATAATAATAATAATAATAATAATAATAATATACCAAACCAGTGTAAATGATGAGTTGAAAATTGAAATGACACTCAGTTTATTTTCTTTCTTAACCAAGATCATTCTGCTTCTAATATTCGAATATCAAAGAAAGTGAACTACGGTAAACTCCAATTCGAAAATTCTATCCAATTATAGTAAATTGAAGTATATACATAGTCTTAACCGTAAATGGTCTAATCAAATCTAATATGATGGCTCATTTTATGCTTAAGAAATATATACAACAAATATATGCATCCTTTCACATTAAAAAACATTTCTAATAACTGTAAATTGTTTATTATTCTATTGATAGAGAAAACAAAAAAGGTTCTTTATTATGTCACAAAGAAGAAAAATTAGTACACGCAAAATGGTCCATCAGAAATCTCATTAATGTCAACAATAGTGATCAGCATGTACTGCCTGTTTGAAAAATAAACTCATCTAAAAAACTATAAAGATGATTAAATAATTATGATCGAATGTATTTGGTTTGAAATTATCTTCTAACCCCTATAAATAGATGAGAAGTATGCGAGGAACTCCTCCACGGTACTCCTATCACCTCTCGATCCTCACTTGTTTCTATCTTCATCTTCTACCACGGTCGTCAACTAGCTGACAAGTTCTATTTTTTTATCAAATAAATTGGATCTTTCTATCCCTTTTAAATCTAGTTCAAGTTTAGTCATGTTAATTGGGTTTATTTGTACCGACCCTAACTTGCATTAGCCATCTTAACAGAGATTCCATCGAGTTCCCAATCACAGAGCTTCGTAAGTGCATCTCGTCTCCTCCATCCACACCAAAGCTTTATGAAGAAAGGTGCTACAACGACTCATCTAAGGGCCGTGGTAAGGGCAAAATGGCCCTCTTGTCTCTTGTCAGGAATGCGTTCGTTGTTGAGTCTAATGTAATGGTTGGCATCGGCCAACAAGAGAACGTGTAGGGTGTAGACAATAAGACTATTTATTATATGGTACGTGTGATGGCATGACACCGAATTGGACCTTCTTCTGACGCGATGCGATGCGATGCGATGCGATGCTTTCAACCTAAGGATGTCAATTCCAAATCCGGTGGTTCACTAGTCTGATTCGACCTGATCAAATTGAAACTGATCAATTTTGGTAGGAATATGAAATTATTATACAATTTTTCAAAAAATCAATCAAGGCTGAACCGAGGATGAGGAAATGATGATGATATATAGATAATTTCATATAAGTAATTTCTTGGGATGATTGTTTATATATTGTTTGAAAAAATTATTAAGTTTCACTTCTAAAGGATGATCGTTTTTTCGTAATTCTTTTTATACCATTAGTATCCGAACATCTTCCTCAATTCTCAATGTGTTTAGTTTTCGAGTTAATCAGTGATGATGACAATATATTTATTGAGTATCCAAATAGAATCGGCATCATCGATGAATGCGAATATCATTTTAAATAACAGATAAAGAAATTTTCATATTTTTGTTCAATTGTTTTCCATAAGACATATGGAATGTGTAAGCAACTCGAGGTTTGGCTCAGTCGGGCAGCTTTACATTCTAAACCTTAATACTGGTTTCTGTGTGAACCCTAAGAAAGAGTGGCCATTTGAACATATTACCATCGCTACAATGGGAACAAAGAACTGAGATGGTGGGCAATGGATTTATATTGGTTGGCAAGAGAAAAATTTAAGAGTCAGGACAAACATCTTTTCATAACATGGAGACGATTGCTACTTATGCCCAAATCACTCTATCTCAATAAGTCATATCAATCATTAATTTGCGAAGAATTCTTCTCTTAGTTTTCTACAATTTTTTTACGTATCTATTCATTCTAGTAACATTTTTGGAAAGCCATATTTGACTTTTGGTATCCCTCCAATTTTATAATGATCATCCACATATACTCCTTGAGTTAATAATTCCCACATATGTTCCATTAGTTAATTCAACTTAAATATCTAAAATACTCTTATCATCTTTAATTCTCAATACAACACGTATCAATCCTATTAAAGCTTTAATAACTGATCAACGGAGATTAATTATGAAGGCGTATTCATCTTTAGTTCACTATCCCATAAGTTATCATTATTATTTTGAAAAAACATTCATCACTTATTTTTTATCGGTACGAGCACAAGCGCTTACGATGAATTATTTATTCCCAGTGATATTTTATCCCTTAAAGTCCTGGTTCTCCTATATTTCAACTGATATATTTATCATTATTACTTATGAAGAGTCTCCAATATAAAAAAAGGCTTATAGTATAATAATAATAATAATAATAATAATAATCATCATCATCATCATCATCATAATGGATAAATTCTTGAAAAAACTCCTAATTTTCCTCATTTCTATAAATTTTTACATAACATATCTTCTTTACTAAAAGATGACTCTGCCCTTATCTCTACCCCACTGATCGTCATCTTTGCATGTGAGCCTCTAGCTACCTTTATGTGCGAGCTTTTAGTTGCGTCCACACATCAACCCTCACTTGTCACCCTCGTCTACCTTTGGTCATCTTCGCCTCTACCCCACTACCCCAATCTCCGCCTTCACCCCACTGCTTCGACCTCCACCAACTACCATCCCTGTCATCCTTCTTGTTACCTTGGTGGATGGGGCTAAGGGTAATAGCAAGGTACATAGGCCCCCCCAACCTTTGCCTATCGTTTCCATCGTTCCCATCGTTGACCATGATAAATAAGGCTATGGGTAAGGACGATGAGAGCGAGGTGCATGAGTGAGGATGATGATGTTGGTAGAGGAAGAAGGAATGGGAGAAGAGACGAGAGAGTTGGTGCGGGATAGAAGCGATGACCAACGGGGCATGAGAGGATTCGGGAAGAGACGAACACAATCAAGATTGAAGGCGAACATAACCAAGGGTAAACGAGGGCATCAGATTGGGGCCACCCCTAACGAGGGGACAAAATTATTTTTTTAGAAAAGAATGGGCAATCTACAAAATTTCATAAAGCTATGAGGTTTTTTTTGAGAATTTACCTAATAATAATAATTAGATTCAAATCGATAAAAGCAAATATTAATGGCTTGAGATACCATCAATAATTGTGCGGTGGGGACCCTTGGAAGCCAATTATTAATTACCTCACTCTAACCTTGTCGTCATCTTCATCAACGCATCATTATTTCCCGCGCATTAACAACCTTAATGCCTCACCCTCATTCTCTTTTCGAGCATCAGCTAATTGGGGGATGGTGGGGCTCTTCTTCTCTCCCACGCCCTTCTGAGATTTCTTGTCACGGCGGCCTTCCTTGTGTCCTTCGCCACAAGCATCACCTCCCCTCGACATCTCATCAGCAGCTGCGACGGCTGGACACGCTTCTCCTCCTCATGCAGGGTGATGGAATCAACATTAATCCAGACTGTGGAGCCACGCAACTTCCACGGCTCACCATCTTCTCTTTCTATAAATATGTTCTCAGACCACCTCCTCTCAATAACTCAAGCTCTGTAGCTTTCTCTTTCATCACCTCTACGACCTTCTTCTAATATATATAGAGAGATAAATGGGATTGAGAGACATTGAATCAACACTGCCACCAGGGTTCAGGTTCTACCCGAGTGACGAGGAGCTGGTCTGCCACTACCTGTACAAGAAGGTGCTGAGCAATGGAGGAAGCGCCGAGGGGACGATGGTGGAGGTGGATCTGCATACTCGCGAGCCATGGGAGCTTCCAGGCAGCTTCAACCTTCTTCTTCTTCTTCTTCTTCTTCTTCTTAGATTTCTGAACCATTTCATTCTTCTACTTCATCTAAAGCTGGTAAACTTGAGGACTCACGTTGTGGAGATGCCTTGCCAGTACCAATTGCTTCGTGCAATCATACAAACAATTAGAAGATGAATTTCTCAGCGTTTGTTTGAAAACATAAAGAACATTCTCATCATAGGTAGTAATCGTTGGGTGTAGAAGGAGAGAGGATGTTTCCTTTCCACTTGGTTCTATAGATGTTTACATGACTATATTGATCCTTGTCCTACTGATTGATATGAAACTTCTGGTCTAGCTTGAAAGCAAAAGAGACTTGCTTTTAACCTTTTTTCTATTAGTTTGCTGAATTGTTTAGTGAACTATCTTCAGAATAAGATCATTGAGTTTCACATTGGCTTCCCATTCTAAGCAACTATAACAACTTGCTTGCATCCCTATCTGCCACACTTTAACTACACTCTTCAATGGGGTAACAGATGCGGCTAAACTGAGTGCCAATGAATGGTACTTCTTCAGCTTTCGGGACCGCAAATACGCCAGTGGATCTCGCGCAAACCGAGCAACAAAATCTGGTTACTGGAAGGCCACTGGTAAGGACCGAACAATCTACGATCCGACGACGCATACGATGGTTGGGATGAGGAAGACATTGGTGTTCTATCAAGGAAGAGCTCCCAATGGAGCAAAGACTGGTTGGGTCATGCATGAATTCCGACTAGAGACCCCTCACTCACCTCCCAAGGTATCAGAGCTACCATTTGGATCAGCATCCTCCATTTCTTCTTGTTTTAGCTTCCACAATCTATGTATGTGCTCACTTCATATTAATAGCTTGTGACACCAAGTATCAGAAACTGCTTATACTCGATGCTTGCCTGTTGAATCTTCTTGTTAAATTTGAGATGGAATTTTTTTCTTCATAGAACATTCAAATAATAGATATCTAATATAGAAATAATATAGTTAGGAACAGTGAGTGAGGTTTCAGAAACTTGTGGCTAGAATTGTACAGTGAGGTATTTCTTTGGGCCATGTAAATGAAAACAAAAGGTGTATTAACTCTAGAACTTAACAGGCATCCAACCATAAGCTGTATCGGTGAGCTGCAATAATGTGCATGCAGAAAGAGTATGTGAAATTGACCTTCTCACTGAAATGTGTTTTGTCCAAAGATAGCTCATACATAGCATGTTATGGTGAATTGATGTGTGGTTTTGGTGCAATCCTTTATGACAGGAGGACTGGGTTCTGTGTAGAGTCTTTCACAAAAGGAAAGGGGAGGGAGAAGAGCATGAGCAGCTGAGTGCTTCTTCTGCCATGCCTGCAGGTGTGTGCCATGGACAAGTGGGGCCTTCATTCTCCACTCTCCCACGCCAAGAGGACAGTAGCCTAAACCCCTTCCTCAACGTGGCACTGCTGCAGTGCAACTCTCTTGGCTTCCCACAGGAGACGGGGAGCAGATTTGTGACGGGGATCAGCCCAAGGTGTGAAGAAGAAGAAGAAGAAGAAGATGATGATGATGAACTTGGATTTCTGTTGGATTTAGGGTTTGAGCATGGTGTGAGCTACCAAGGTGGCAAGGCTACTTAATAGGTTTTGTATTTACTAAAGGGACTGATGTTGTGAGTTTGCATGAGTCCAATAGTAGGCAATTAATGTTGATTAGGACTTGGTGAGTGATTGACATGGTCATGTAAAGATATCAAATAGTAGCAACTTGGCTTACTTCTGGATGACTATATTTTTCACTTTATAAAACCAAAAAAATGAAAATTGATAGTTTCTATTTTTTTTTTTCCTAAGCTTTTAAATAATCACGGTTCATGATCCTCCTATCTTATTTTAAATAAATAAAATCAACAAGAATGCATACTTATTTGCATTTTGTTGGGAACTACAAGGATCTCCTATCTCACTTAAAGAAATTTAGACTGTGGTTTCCTAAATAAACTTGCATTTTGCTAGACTAAGAACATATAATTCCTGGAGTGATGTTACTGTGTTTTTTATAAAAAAAACATAAGATAGTTGTAATAAACTACTTTTGGACGAGAAAAATTAAAAATATATGGTTTAGAATTATATAATAAGTAATGCTAAGTTGGTTTAGCTATGCACATTTGTCTTGAATTTAAAATAGACACCAAAAAAGGTAGAGTTATAACACAGAAAGGCATTCATGTTGCAAGATTTGGAGGATACTGGAATGACAAAATTGGAATTAATGACCGAATAGAGGATACAAGTAGAAATTAAGAAGGTGACATATCATCTAAAATATTCACTTTAAACTACCTGCAATTAATCTGATAGAGATAGGAGAAGATAAAGACTACATGTTTCAATGTATTCTAATCCATCCTTTTCTTCAAGAACAACTTACTAGCATTTTTCTCCTCCATTGCGATTAGGCATATATCCTTGACATTTTCATGTTAGAGTTGAAAAGATATTTCATGTTAATTAAACTATAACTTGGATTTATGGAGAGCCATGGTTGCAAATGTTTATAGATATCACTTCAATATAAAATCAACATAATAATGAATCAGAATATTTCAATTATTTGGGATCAGCTATATACATCTTTTACCATTATTAAACTTTGTATGATTCAAAATGAATTTAATACAAAATAAGTCATGGAAAGAATGTTGAACAGCTTACTAAAAACGAGGATTTTTAATGAAATAAATTATGGTTCAAAAGGAATTACATGAGTAGATTAGAAAAATGAAAATCTTCCAGAATATAACCGAGTAGATAAAATGCATTACATAAGATGTGCCAAAAATATTATCATAGCTTTGGCCCAAATCCTTCAATTTTAGATCCAAGATGAATCCTTATCGGTATTTATTGCAATTCTTTATCCATAAATGTTATAATCAAAATTGTTTTCCTTATATAAAAGATCATTTATATGTTTTTATTAAATAAAGACTTCTACTTCTTAAATAATTCTTATGTATATGAATGCAAATTTAAATTAATTATTCTCTTTTTGCTTTTTTTTTTTTGCAATGTAAGGGATTTTCTTAATCATTAATTTTTGGTTTGAATCTGTTATAAAAATAGTCAACTTATTTTCACTTGTAAAAATAAGATAAACACATACATAGTATTGATCGGGAATGCATGTTGAGTCATCAAAATAGTTCAGATGGTTTCAAGATTAATAATCACTTGTGATCTGTTTTAAGGTCTTGTTTTGATCCACAAAAATCTAAACATCAACTAGAGATATGAGCTCATCATCAATGATTATAATCTAAATGTAGAGTGAAAATTCTCACTATTATAATTTATGAATTGAATAATATTTCGTTTACCATGTTTAGGAATATAGTTGATGATCCTCTTCGAACAAGTTAAAAATATTAAAATGTGGATGAATTAATTATCAACTTGACTTGAGTCATTTGTTGATTATTTTATATCAAAAGAATGAAATTTTACAATAAACATATATTATCTCATGATAATTTAAATCAAAATATGATGTTATCATTATTGTATTTATGGATAGCAAATCTAAAAATATTTGTAATTATTTATCTTTGCTCTTATGTTAATTCTTTTACTCATATCCTAAAAAAGATAAATTTTAATAATGGATTGTTAAAAGGAGTGAACTAAAAAGTCAAACATATTAAAAATCTAAAATATCACAATTGTATATAAATTTTACAAAACTTTAGTTTTGCCTACTCTAAGGTTATAACCACTTAAAGTTATGAGTGTATTTTAATGGTCAAATACTAGTCTATGGGCAACTAATAAGGTATTGATACTTTTTTTTTTTTGGAATATTTCAACTCAATTACCAACCAGTGACTTAAAATTAAAATTTTTTTCATTTAACTATCAAGTAAGTTATTCATCATCAAAATATAAACTAAGAATATTGTTATATTATAATTGAGTGAGGATTTTGTGTGTTGGTCTGTTTTTATGGTAGAAATTGGAACTCTAATCGGCTCTCAAGAATTACAATTTATAGTAATAAACTATATAATTAAATAATATTAAGAAACAATACATGATATTAGAATAATTATGTAATATAATGAGATAACTATATTTCAAGTAGTAATAGTTATATCCAACTTTTTTTTCAAGAAAACATAGAACCGATTGTTATAATAATGCTTGTAATGGATGAAAGTTTATATTTAGAATTTCATTTGGGTTATTTTTTTTACAAGTTCATATTTAACCATTTCAATTTTATCAATAATATTAGAGAGACATATATTTTAATAATTTTTAGTTCATCTCGAAGTAAAATAATGACAACACATAATGCATTACAATTTATTTTTTATGATATTAAGAAAATGAACCTATTAGGGTATAGAGTGTACAGGATTATGTAGAGGAGGAATGATAAAAGGTTTTATATCGAATGATTTTTGTTATCTCCAGCTATAACCTCTTTGATAGCAATGTCCAAAGAAATAAAATTAATTCAAGTTAGTAAAATATTTTGAAACAAGATCTAAATTTTAATAAGCAAATGAAGCAATAAAAACTATGGTCTAATATAGCAAAATTAGTAAAAGAAACAAGCTTTTAGGTTGGCATGAAAAGAATTGAAAATAACTTTTCTCATTATATATTTTTTATATGGTCCATATTGAGTTGAACATAATGCTGGATCATATGCTATTTCAAATACTATAAATAAATAAATAATTATTATTATTGACCTAATATTTTTGTCAACTCTTCTAATGTTGAAGATGATGTTGGAGCAATCTCATCACATGTTATTAGAAAAAATTACATTGTCATTAAAAGGAGGAAGTCCATCAGGCTAATGAGAAGTTGTCTTAGAAACATGATGGGCTAACACTTGATTATTTATAAAAAAAATCTATAATATTGAAGTAATATATCTTGATGGATGAATTGTTTAGTGATTTACTTTAAAGATTAGGATCAATTAAATGTTATACATAAGGTTTTAGTATTTTAAAACTAATTATGGTCGCCTAGAAACTGAAATCATCATTGTATATTATAACTTTCTTTGTATGCAATAACGTATCTCTTGGTAGAAGTGAAATGTATATAGATTAAATAAAGAATTGTGACCTTATACAATTTATATAGTATGCTTGTTATATTTATTAATTAAATATTTTATAGAAATAATGTCATATTTTAAGATAATGCTTATACTTTATATAACACTCTAAGATTGTTATATGGTAAGTTGGAAAAAATCTATTCCATATCCTTTAAGTGCATAAATATAACCGAGAGAGGAATAAGCATCTCTTTTGTGAATTAGCTAGCAATCATTTAGTCATCTAATACTTTATGCTCTTTTTGGGATCAAGTATATGAGGCGTGGTGCTGAACTCTCCACATAGAGAAATCTTATTTGAAAATAGAACTAACTTAATTTTTTTGACGATCAATTTTTTATTCTTGTAATTTCTGAAAATATAAACATGGTGTAAAAATTCTCACTCTTATAATTTATGATTTGAGTAATATCTAGTTCACCTTCTCCATGAACCTAGTTGATGATCATCTTCGTACAAATTAAAAATATCAAAATATGAATGAAATTATTGTCAATTTGACTTATTCGAGACCTTTGTTCATTATTTTATATCAAAAGCACAAAACTTTTCAATAAACATCAAATATGTCATGATAATTTTGTTAGGATTAAGTCGGCATTAAGAGGGGTGAATTATAGCTATGATAAAATTAACGTCGGTTCTAAAAAACTTTGTTCGATAAAAGCTCACATCCAAAATATAAGTTTAACTTGAAAGCTCATTCGTAAGTATAGTAAAAGTAGTAAGCAAGTAAGGTAGTTTGCAGTAAAGGTAAATAGCAAGAATAGAAATGCAAACCAAGTTTTATAGTGGTTCGGTCGTCGTGACCTACATCCACTCATGATTCCTCTTCACTCGAGGCCACCAGCTTCCACTATCGATCTTCTTTCAATGGGCGAAGATCAACTACCCTTATAACTTGATTATCTTTTTGACAGGTTCAGGAGAGAACCTTTATACCCCTACTACCTCCTCTCTTAAACTTCACCAACACTTAGAGCTTGAGAGGAGTTCTCATAAGATTATAATAGTGTTTTTCTTTCTTTTTGCTCTTAGTTCTTGTGTTTGCTGAGCAGGATGAGAGGGGTATTTATAGGCCCCAAATGGATTCAAACTTAGAGCCTAAAAGTGTCTCATCCCCGATTTTCGGGGTATTGGCGGTACCACCGCTTGTGCTGGTGGTACTACCGCATGTAGCACTGACATTGGGTAGTATCATCGCCCAATCTGGCGGAACCATCGCCTGACACAGTCTGAGAGATTATGTTAGTGTGGTACCACTGCCTAGATTGGCGGTACCATTGCCCAATCTGGCGATACTATAGCCTGACATAGTCTCGGAGATTTTGTCATGTAGATCGAGCCACTAGCGGTGCCACCGCCTGACCTAACTTTTGGGTCACTGAATGAGCCTTTCTCTTGGTCCAAAATAGCCCCAATTTTGGCCCAGTTGACACCTAATTGAGGTAGCCTAATTATGTTCTAAACCAACCCAATTACAACTAAAACTATTTTGATCTAGATAAATTATTACAAGCATTGGTTTATCCGACGCTTCGTCCGACCCTTCGGCGTATCGTCCTCTCCTTCGGCGTATTGCCCAATCGGCATATTGCCTTCTCGCAATATTCGATCTCCTTAGCGCAATGTCTAATCTTCTTGGCCTGATGCCCGAATTCATGGCATGAAGCCTTCTGCCAACACGTCGATCGATCCTCCGACCCGAT